AGCTGGCAATCTCTTCGCAATTGATGTTTTTGTACGCATTGACAAACCTTCCCGTTTCATAAAACGGCAACACCATCCTTCTGTTCCTATAAAGTTTTGAATCCCCTTTTCGTTCGCTAATCTTCTAGCCTCATTCCTTATCATTTTCGTAGTAACGATTTTGCCTTTACTCCTCTCATATACAACCTGTCGGAGTTAACTCCTCCTTTCACTCCGTTAACCCTTTCACCAGGGGTCTCTCTTTCCTGGCTATAAATAGCCAATGACCCTTCGCCTCTATCTCTTTTTTCCTTCAGGCCTGTGCACTGACACCTTGAGGTAAACTCTCTTATTCCTAGAGGATTTTCAGCTATCAACCTCGAAATGTAGTCGCTAACAAGGGATAGCGTGGAAACACGCTAAGCACAAATTCACACACGCACGCACGCACATACAGAATAAGCACAACACGCACGCACATACAGAATATTCACACACGCACGCACATACAGAATATTCACACACACTTCGTCCTTTGTACTGTTTCCATGTATTGTAACTTGTTATTAATATATATTTGTATATACATATATTATTGGTCTTGTTTTGTTTGCTTTCTTTACCTTCTTCTTTGGACTTAATCAAAGTCCAACCTTTTTATGTAGTTGGGCCCGGCGGGCAGGAGTATCTGAACCTTGCGTTTCTTCTACGTCTGACTTCTATCAACAACATAACAGCCACGCCATGAACCCTCAACAAACCGTAACCGCCACGGCCTTCTACAAACCCATGTTTTAATTTCATCTTCAATTTCAGGCCAGTGTGGGGTTGGATAGCAAAGGGTTACAGTTTCTTTTATTCGCTGCCTGCAAGTTATTTTCCATTAACGTATCATTTTTTTTTATTTCTGTAGACGAAGGGCCAAAAATATTTGGCAGCTTCTCTATTTCCACGCTCTTTAGCCTAGTTTATTACATGAAGCTTGTACGCAACAGTGTAGCTTAACCTCTTTCTTGCTGTTGTCATATCTGAACGAGTGAAATTCAGTCAAAAATATTCCTTTTATATGATCTGTACAACCTGCAACGTCTTAGCGGAATAATTAGGACATAAAAATTCTGATTGTATTTATACCAATAGAAGAAAAATATTAATGAAACAAATATATATTTTACAAATATATAATTTGAATTTATTTTATATAATTTATATGAAACAAAGTACTAATATTAAACATGATGAAATTAATATAATGAATATTATCAATGATAACACTTTTAATCTGCATAATATCCTTTTAAATAATGACAATAGGTATATGAAAGGTACTCTAAAGTCTAAGCTAATAGGAGTTGCTAGGTAGCTAATTTCGGCCGAATATTTACATATGGCATATAAAACGCAGGAGAATTTTAAAAGATAATATTAGTAAAGAAAAGTGCGTCAAATACAGTAAAAAAAGTAATTCTTTCTCAGTTACCTTCTATTCGTTCTACAAGGGAGATAACTTCAGACTAACTTTAATTTTAATTGAATAGTGTTGTTCACTTTCTCTTTTTCGTAAATTACTAACATTTTTTTGTGAATGTCTTATAAGCTACAGATTATCATTAAGTTCGGATCCAGTTTGTGGTGCTGCTGATAAAATTCACACTGTGAATTTTACGATTGTTAAACTATCTCTTACAAGTCAAATGCTATACGTGATATACACGCTCGATCGATCTCTTTCGGTTCATGAACTGACTAGGCAGAATATTTTCTCGCAGTAGGTTGCCATTTTTTTCTGCAGTAGACTGGTTACTAAAACAAAGCTGTAGGACCCAGTCTGACCTGCTATTCAAGCCATAGCTTAGTGGAGGGAATGGGGAAAATGAGATGGATTCATACCTTTCCTGAAGGCATGAGTAAGAAAGAGAGTGTAACGAATCCGACTCGAATTTGAATTAGGTCACAGCATACACATCTCCTCCTCCTATCTCTTGTGACTCTTACTCCACTGAAGCGAAAACTCCTTAAAACACCAAACACCAAATCGTAAAGTTTAACAACTCACTTAGAAGAATGTTTGTGACATTGCTGTGTATTATCACACAGAAGGAAAAGAACAATGGGGCGAAAGGTTAATTGATTTGTCTGTTTAACGGTATATCAACTCCTTCATGGGTCATTTAATGCCGAAATTTAATTTTCTTGGGAGTTTGGAAGTAATAAAAATGATATATGTTATTCTGCTTTCACAACTGAATAAATGGTAGCTTTTGCGTAAACATCATTACTAGAGTATTTTATATTGTAGTTGTTTAAGTTATATTTTGGAATACAGTTTGATTGTAGGATATTATATGTATTAATATCATGAAAGTCCTTTCATATTAGTTGTTTGGTTAGCTGCATATCAACACATCTATGGGTTATTTAATGCCAAAATCTAAATATTTTGAACATAATTGTATACCTTCAGCCACAGATAAAATGTATTGTTGGTCATTATACTATTAATAGGTATTGGTGGTCATTTTTTTAATATAAAAATGTATTTTTATACTTTCATAGTGTTTTGTTTTTGTTTGGGGGTTCGTTCATTATTTGTCTACAGCTGGGACCCTAACAGGTGCTACCACCCTGAGCCACGGTTGACCTGGGAACAACACCAATTAAGAAGTGGTTACGAAAGGGTAATTAAAAAAAAATGAATCGATGTAAAAGTTTTTATTGTTAAAAATTGATGAATGATATCAGTCTTTTATCAAACAAAACTCAAAGACACAAATGATAAGAAATTCTGACACTTTATTCATGGAGTGATTCTTGGTAAACACGGGCTTCAAAAGATAGAATTATGATCGAAATTATGAACGCTATTTCCAGGGAAATCATTTTTGTTGGTTTTCTGGGTGTTTATGTTGCAAGCAGAAATTTCAACCTGGAAATGTTTTTTTTTTTTTAATTTTTTATGGACGAACACTTTTGAATCTGGAGGAAATAACAGGAATTCTGGGAAACACAAAACAAGTGTCAATAAATATTGTTCCTTTGATTCATTTTAAGGAAAATGTAATACTACAAGAACAAAATATAGGTTAAAGATTTCGTGTCCAGTCTCCGAGAAAACAAAGCCAATTTGGTGTCTAAGTGGCTTATCCAATGTTATTGATTGACGAATTTGAATCGTACAGTGACAACTGAAGAGAAAGCCTCTAACCCATTCATTATACACTTACCATGTCTCTAAAGCATCATAAATTGATAAAAGCACAAATATGTGAACAAAACCTTTGAGTGATTTTTTTTTTTTTTGGCGGGGAGAGAGAGGTGGGTTGAATCTCGATTAAATAATTCCTGAAGGCAAACAATTTTCTTTTACCTGACCAACAATTACGTTTATTTTAATTATGTTATTTAATATTGCAGGGATGGAGAAGGCGTTTATCTCCCCTTTTTACAGAACGAATTTTACTAACGTTTTAAGTGGCTCTGAAGGTTGCATAATGAGAGCCCGTGGGTGACAATAGAAAGTTACTGATTAGCCCACGATGGAGACAGAACTGGTATCCAACGGCGATTAAGACAACGAATGAAAGCCTTGCACCCTAATTGAGGAACATGAAACATATCACACTGGTCTGGTCGCATTTCTACTTGAGCCATTATGAATAGAACATTCTTTACATCTGTCCTTTCACAGACCTCTTGCTTGCTTCTCGTATTTGGGTTATAATTTCTCCGTGTGGGGCCAGTTGCAATAAATATAGATATATTTGTGTCAATTTCTTAGGAAGTAATGAATTTTTAAAAATTCAATTATCCAACAGATTTTATTATTTAACCATTATGTCTATTGTATATCCATATTTAGGTTGACGCTCCGTTTATTTATTAAAACGTCAATTTATTTCTTTTCGTCTACCGCCCTGAATATTCGAGAAATCCTATTAAAGAAAAGATGCGTCCTCCAGCAGGATTCGAACCTACGTCCTCTTTAACTGGATAAACAGTCATTAGATCCGACGTGCTTTCGACCATCTCGGCCACGAAGGGTCTTGCTGATTGAGTCAAGTCGAATAGTACCTTATAAGCGGAAATTTCATCAAAGTGTCTGAAAACATTAATTTCTGTTCAGTTTCGTATCCGAACGTTAACAAAGCAATTTTTAAAGAAGTAATGGATTTTTAAAAAAATTATTAATCCGACAGATTTTATCACTTTAAACGTTATTTTTAGCGGATACCCATATCTTAGTAGACATTTTGTTTATTTATTAAACAATAAATGTTTTTATTTTCGCCTACCGGCCTGAATATTAAAAATTCTATTAAAGAAGAGAGGAGCACTCCAGTTTTTCTTTTCTTTCTCAAATATTCGGGCCTGTAAACGAAAATAAATTTCCTGTTTATTAGATAAATGGAACGTCTACTTTAATATGAGTATCCACTAAAAATAACGTTGAAGTAATGAAATAGATTTACATATAACATATTGTATGATATATTTCTATATTCTCGTGCAGTATATAAAATGTTTTCAGGCACAATTCATTTTTGATGTTAATTTCTTTGATTTATTCTAGCCCATCCTTCTTTCGTGTTAAGGTGTTTATATAATGGATAAACTAATGCCTAATGTGGGTCCTGGAAAGTAGGGAAAACGAAGATATTTCTTCTTTCTTTCCAAGTACCTCATTAATATCAATAAAAACCAATTTATTTTACATGAGCAGTAATTACGCATAAACATTCTAATAGCATCTTTTTTCCTTTGGATTCTGATTAAAATAAATAATTTATTCAAATCCCAGAAAACCGAATTAGATGACTAAAAACTTTCGGTTCCATTTTTATTTCCTCCAAGACTGCCAAACTGTTGAATTTCTCGTGTATCTTATTTCTCCAACGCCCAAATTCTATAAACCATTTTTTTAAAAATTCTAATTTGAATTGTTTAGTTACTTCAACCTGAAGAAATCAAAAGTGTGAAGAGTGAAAATTGGGGCAGAGGGAAAGGAATGGTCGAGTGGAATCTCATTCTTGAGCACAATGGACCATAATCTTCACAGCACCATCTCGCATGGTCCGGGCATGTTCAAATGCTTTCAAACTGTCCTCGAGTTTATATCGATGAGTTATCAGTGGCTTCGCATTTACTTGGCCTGTGGCGATCATCGACAAAGCAGTTGGGTAACTGAAAGGAAAAAATGAACCAAAAGTTTTATTTTTAAGCGTATAAAATGCGAAAAAAATAAAATAAAATCTTTTTCAATTTGGTACAGAATAATAATTTGTTTAGTGTTCATACCCTCTGCATATCAAAGACTGAATCATTTCCTATAGATTTCTTTACTTAGTCTTATATTTAGCGCCTTTCTTTACACAAGGAATATTTATTGAATATATACGACTCGATGTCAAAACAAAGACATTTTTTGGTCTATTGCGATTTACTAAGCACAGCTTAGAATTCACTATTCAGTCGTAAATGATCTAGTAAGAAAAGTTTGCTAACCATTACACCACTTAGAAGTACCCTACTAAGCGAACTTTAGATGTGGCACAAGGCCGAAAGTATGGAGCACCTAGTGAGGACCGAATTCACTACTCCGTAGTAATTGATACAGTGAGGCAGGCTTACTGATAATAACACCACGTGTTAAATAATAGTTTAGGTGACTTGCCTTTTCCGGGTGTCCTCAAGGACACATGACACAGTGGATAAAAGCGTTGGTTGCATCTAGCGACTTGACTGAAAGAGTTGTGAGTTCAATAGCTGGCTACTGCAGTAGTGAACAAAAACGTGAAGCGTTCAGTTAAAGGGAGATAACAGAGACATCTGAAAGAGGCATGGCACGTGGAACGAGAACACCCTACCCCGGCGGACGAAATAAAGGGTTCAGTTCGAAATTCGAATTACTTGAACAAGTCCACAGCGTACAACGACCGAAATGCTGTGAACATGGCAAGAAAAATGAGGAGACAACAGTTCGAACAATGTCAATAAGAAATAATCATTAACAATGTGTCTTTATATTACTGTCGATTAAGCTCTACAGATCACGAATATATATATATATATATATATATATATATATATATATATATATATATATATATAGATTGATAATATTAGTGGTAAATATACACATACATATGCAATATATATTGTGCAGAAGCTGGTATCCATATCGGCTGGGTATCCAATCAAAATTTAATTTATACTTAATTTTAAGTGTTTATTTTATGTTTAATCTGTTTGCATATATTTAAAATGTCTCCCTTTCTCACATTTCTCAGTACCAGGTTCTATAGCCCCCCCCCCACTTATGTTTTAGGGGCATACAAATCAAGGAGTTGGCCACAGGCGTCACTAAATGTCGGCAAGCTTCTGCACGTTCCTGATATATATATATATATATATATATATATATAATAATAATAATAATAATGATAATAATAATAAAAAGAAAAAACAGCAAGATATATAATCCGGTGTTCTTATTGATATTTTTTATTTTATTTTACAGTGCTCAATGTAAATTCACAGAGCATAAATATTATAAATTAACTGATTTAAAATATGGTTTCTTCGCTACACAGGAATTACCATGTTTCAAAAACCGAGGCTAAAAACTTCAAATTTAATTATATAATTAAATTAAAAGCACTGGTTCCGTTTCATTTTCAAGCGATATATATATATATATATATATATATATATATATATATATATATTACTTCAAACGTTATGATAGTGGATGCTCCGTATTTGAAATAGGCGCCCTATTTTTATTTATTTGTATAGTGCGTCTATTTCAAATATGGTGTATCCACTCAAACAACGTTTGATGTAATAAAATGTTGGATTAAGAAAAATAAATCCATTAATTTTATTTTATTATATTTCGGATGCATACATTTTTAAATCTAAAAGAGATCTCAGAATAAGAGGCTAGGTAAAGAAATTTAAATTCTTCGTTTGTTCTTTTTCCAGGCCATATAAATCCAGGTTGATTTTATATGATTTTCAGGAAGAAGCAACACACCACTCGTTCGGTTAACTAATTAGTTTTCTAGTGTTTTGTAACTTCCAATAGAAATGAAATATAAAGGAGATAATTAAGTGTTTGGTATACAAAAATGTAAGGGAGATAATTCAATAATTCCTAAAATCAAAAAAGAATTTTAGATTAAAATTTTGGCAATGTTTAACCTACGAACCCGCAAAAAACAACGTGTCAAAAGAACTGATTTTCCTTTGACACCACTATTACTCTATACTTCCGTGACAATGTTTATTGTTTTTAAAAAGCCATGTTTAGAATTTTAATAACAACAAAAACTTTGTACGTTGTTTGGTTACTAGATTATTTAAGATTTAATTTGACAATGTAAAAAAAAAGACTGTAAAAAAAATGTCAAAAAGACAGTTATTCCCTTGACTCTGCTAATACTAGACTTTTGAATTGTAGTTGATTCATATATTCTTTATAATTTTGTGAAAACGTAATACCTAAGGTTTAAAATGAATTAAAAAAATAAAATCTTTCTTGGAGATTTTATATTAGTTTTAATTTCAAATGTAATATTTCCAATAAGCAATAAACTTTACTGTATTTCAAAACTAATTTAAATTGACTAGAAGGAGTTTTTATTTTGAAATCACTAAACATCGCTGATTTTTGGCGCCGTTTTCAGCCATCCGTTATATCACGATGTAAATCTCGTTATTAAAAAAATCTTTCAAAAATAAAATATACTTTTATGAAACTTTATTTCAAGTAGATTAGATGATTGAAAGTTTAATTAATCTGATTTGAAAAAATATTACTTTAAGTTAAAAACATCGCAGAAATGTATTATAGGAGTTACCTCCTCCTTAGTTCCCTAATTCTTCACCAGGGGTCTCTCTCCCCATGCTATATATACCGGGCGACCTCTTGCCTCGATCTCTTTTTCCCTCAGGCCTCGTGCCGCATTCCGCCTCGCGTGAAGGTGAGGTCAATCTCTTTTTCTTCTTCATTTCAGCGACAAGATGTAAGCTCTTAGAAGAACAGCGTTTCCCATTTCTGGAAAACGCTATGAACATTACAAACATTCACCAAAATAACATTCACCAAAGAACACACACAATGTTATATTGTTATGTCTATGTGCCTTGTAATTTGTTTAATACATATATATTTCTTGTTTGTTTTCTTTCATCTTCTATTGGACAAATTAAGTCCGCCAATTGTCATGTAGTTGGATCTTTTAATATTTTCCCAGGAGTTACACACGTGTTTCTAATACAACGACATGTAAATACATACACGGCCCTTTACAGTATTTTTTAGCACAGCGATAACCTATTTATTTAAGGTGTTGATAGCTTGATTGACAAACAGATGTTTATCTAATTTTTTCTAGGCGAGTACCATTTTTATATAATTTTTAACTACCCAGTGATCTTAAAAATTAAGGAAAAAATTATAAGTAATCTAATGTTTTACTGAATTTTAGGTACGTTGGCTTTAAATTTACTATAGTTTTCGCTCTTATTTTCTGAGAATGCCGTCTATGGACGCCCGTATTTACAAAATTTGGCACATTCATACACAGGCATAGAAAAATTCAATATTCTTTTAAAAATATTGGTGGTCGATGAATTGTAGTAATCTTTTCCATTTATGGAATGTAAATATAGTTTTTACTTCATTAACAATATCAACTAATCGCTATAAATTAATACAGCATTTTAAAAATATTTAAAATTTTATAAATTATCCTAATTTTCAAAAAATGAAAACAGTTCCTGTAAAAGTTTATTATTCATCGAAAATCTATTTTTTCTTAAAACAGTAGTGACCATAATTAAATAATATCTTAGTTTTATTGCATTTTTTATTTTACGATTCATAGAGCAGATTTTCGGTAAATGGGGGTCCTGTTTTACTAAAAGACAAAAAAACAAACAAACAAAAAATGATGGTTTAAATTTTACAAAGAGATCTGCGTATAAGTAATATCATCATTAAGTGGTACAAAATTTAATTTTTCGTAATTTTATAAAATGAAGTAAGTCGGGTGGATGTGGGGGGGTAACAGATGTAATTAATGTTTTTAGCAAGATTTTCTAAAAACGAAACATTTCGAAAATAATTTAATTCATTTGTGAATAACTTCTGAAAGTTTCATTAAAATCCAACAATTATTTGATTTTTGCAAGAATTTCTAAATCAATGTATTTTACACCGCAAAGAAGACGCTAAAATTTCCTAAAAAACAGAAAAGAAGGAAGATTTTTAATAAAAATTTCGAACGCTCTTAAAAGGATGAAAAAATATAATTTAATAATAAAAAAATCCTTAGATGTTTCCTCTTAATAATAACAAAAATTTTGACGATAAAACTTTTTATTAAGTTTGGGGCATTTTTTCATCATGGTATGCTCATTTTTTAGCGAATCATTGGAAGTACATGTTGTAATAGTTAAGTCCTTTGTATAACTCGGAAGTCGAGAAGAGTTATTGCCCTTAGTTCGTTGGTCGATTTTCCTGTAATAGCGTTCCAAAAATAAAGCATGTGATTACTCAGCTCTCGCCTTATCCGTTCATTATCGCAACCATCCTATTAGATACCCCCCCACAACATAACAGTACAGGTATATTTATGATTTCATAAAATGGAAAATAAATATTGTAGGTGGTTCATATAGTTTTATAATCTTGTAAATATAAAATGAATCTTGTAAATAAACAATTTGACAACTAAATATTGTGTTACATTTTCATTAATGCAGTTCTAAATCTAGCGTTTTAAAAGATAAACATTACCAAAGGAGTTTAGAGAGAACAGAATAAGAGCGGTGACAAGGGAAAAACCGTCCCTTTTGATAGACCGTTTTTGTTTCCGGCTACGAAGGTTAAATTTTGCTAAAATGCTATCAATAAGAAATATACACTTAAACAGAGCCTTAATAATAATAATATTTAACATTATTTTTACTACTGTATAACGGAAAAAGTAATATATATATATATATATATATATATATATATATATATATATATATATATATATATATATATATATATATATATATATATATATATATATATATATATATATTAAAAAGGAATTTAAATTTATACAACTCTGCCGCTAAATTGACACTGGCTGGTGGGTGAATTCAGTCAAGTGGGATAACAACAGCAGCAGACAGATTTGAATTAAGATTTTACTGATATAATAATTGTGTTCAATCCTTGGGCTGGGTAGTGTAGACTCAGTAGAAACAGGGTGAGCAATGACAGAGCAGTTTTCAATAAGATGTCCACAGACAAAAACAATCTACCTCTGGATTAAATCTAGGGTTCAGTTCAAAATTCACTGAATATTAACTGAATATACAAACATTCCCTAAGCGCTACTTATTATGACGCAATAAGAACTGCCAGTAAGAAAATTGTGTTGCCCAAAATGGGGAGGACCTTTATTACATCTCCCAAGCTTAGAGCACAGTCAAACTCGTGTAAAAAATGGTGACTATTTAAATTGCTTCAAACTTTCAAATGGGGGGGGGTCGAAAATCAGCATTTAAAATGTTGGATTTATCTGGTCATGAACCTTGGATCCTTGTAAGCCTTTGACTCTTGTTATCTTAGCGCTCTGGTAATTCCAGATATGTTAAATCCAAGAAATGTTAAAGAAACAAATTAAGAAACCGATTATCCAGATTTAAACTTGGTTTAAAAGTTAGTTTCCCATCAAGACACTATTAGGGTTCGAACCCTAATGATGAGACCGAATTTCAAATACAGATTTTTAAGGCATATGTGCGAAAGTGTACAGAAAAAGAATACCGTTATCAGTGACTGTCCACTTACCAGTTGGCATATCTGAATGTCCCTTTGATGTCCACTTCCCTGACAGCTGCATTTAACAAAGGCACAGTGACTTCATCGGGCTGCATACCGACCATCACAACACACCCTCCATTTGCAGTCGCCTGTAACATCAATAACAACAAAGTAATCGATGCCAACATTGTTTTGTACTGACATTCAAATAGTTCTTTTGGCAAACATGGGAAAACGTGTCCGGAACCCCCACCCACAAAAACAAAACAAAAACACCCCCCTCCAAAAAACGGAGTGTTAAAAGAACAGTTTTCCCCATGACACCGCTTTTATTTTAACTACCTGCACTCCTAGGCAATGTGTATTGTTTTAAAAAGCGATGATTAGAATTGGAATAAAATCGAAACATATGATGAAAGTGAATTTATACATATTTTTATGCTTGAGAATTTAGAACAAAAATATTAAACACTATTTATTGAATTGTTTATTTACAAGAATAATGTTATATTTACAACATTCTATAAACCAATACGATTAAAACTAATGCAATATTCATAATTTACCAATTTATAAATAAATAAATATAAAAACAATTTTTATTCATTAATTTATAAATATTTACTAAATTATTAAAATATGTGGACCAACTATAATGAAATCTTTATTATTTACCATTTTATAAAGATCGAATCGATTGGTAATTAGCTGATAGTTTCATAACCATTCCAATAAACAATACAATAAATAACTAATGTTTATTATTTTTGTTGTCAATTCTCAAGAACAAAGAAAATGTATAAATTCGCTTTCATCGTATGTTTAGGTTTCATTACAATTCTAATCACTGCTTTTTAAAACAATAAACATTACTAGGGAGTGAAGTTAGTTAAAATAAAAGCGGTGTCAAGGAAAAAAAGCGTCCTTTTGACACTCCATTATTTTGCGTGCACGAAGGTCCATGTTTATCGTTCTTTTAATAGAACATTATAACTCTCTTAGGGATTGTTATCTTTACTTTATTAAAAATATACAGAAGAAATATCATCTTTCATTTATACTTCCATGAACTTAGGAATCATTTGTAGTATTAGGTATTTTGAAGTAGTTATCATTTTGATATTAACCACACTCAATATTGCTTAACCATGTGCACGTCTCTTTAAGTCCAGATGAGTAGATCAGTTAATTTATAAATGTTTACAAGGCTTAGAATAGTTTGGTACATCACAAAAATGGACAAATAGGGACAGAAAGACGAATGTTGCCACAATTTTCCAAGTGAAGCGGCCCTTATTTGAACATTATCATTCAACAGGATTAAACAGGATTGAAACCCTGATAGCACCGAAAAGAAAAATACAAACCTATCTAACCTCTGAATCAAACTCTTAGTTAATTTGCTGCAATGTCAAATGGTAGGAGTAAGCTTGTATAGTACTGGTTTACCAAACGAGAAAAAATCCACTGCCTTTTGAATCCTCGCCGTTTAGCAGGAGTGAAACACTAGAAAAATACACTTCAATCTAAGCAAACCTTTAGCTAAGTAAGGCAAAAGGTCACATAGCAGGAGGAGGTTTGTATCACACTCTAATCTTTCTGATGGGGCAGAACTATTGCCTTAAAAATCACCATTCGAAACCATCACTTTTTAGAAGGAATAAAACATCAGAATTTACCGGCTGAGAGAAATATTACTGTCTAATACGCTGAGAAGAATTTTACATTTAGCTAAGTATGGCAGAAGGCTGGAAGGAGTTTAGGATAAAAAAAAAATCAAAGTGTGTTAATGCCATGTTTATTGCATAGGCGATTGTCTCCATACAAATTCCTTTTCTTTATTATCTAGCCATGAATCTTTTAAAAGTAATTTAACCGCAATCAAGGCGATGATGTCACCAAGATATACAAGGGGTTGCTGAGAATGAAAAAAACTTTAGTAAGGAGAAAGGACAATAAAAGAACGGATTTCAGGAAAGTAGAAGCTGGCGGTTGATGTTGCATTTAAATTTTTGATGATCGTTGGTGACAGTGGCACAAGAAACCTGAAGAGAGTTCCACAGGCAAGAAGTACGAGAAAAGGAACTATCGGAATAGAACTGGCGGTTGCATCTAGCTATTTCAAAAGTAAAACAATGAGACCTCTTTGCCAATCTAGTAGTACAGTGTAGCACAGGTAAACCTGGAATTTTTACGCGCCATGATGTCACAGCGCAGCGAGGTTTCGAGAGAGCCATTAAAAATTACTACATCTCAGTAGGTCGAGTGGTGCTTAGTAATCGATATGTCTTCAGAATATGATTGTCGAGCTGTTGTTGTGGAGATCATCACCCAGAAAATGAGGACAAGAAAATCATTGAATGGCTTAAATACCCTAAATACCATTGCAAAGGCATATGGGGCGCCAGACGACAATTTCAGGACCGTACGTATGACTCATAAGAAGTGCTCTGGTACCACCAGAACGCACTAGTTCGTCGCTGACTTTGTCGAGGTTGTCAAGGAGAAACCCGACAAAAGCATGAGGAAAATCGCCTACGAAATAGGCACCAGCAGGCGAACAATCGGGCGTATTGACAAGGACTTGATTTTTTAAAATCGAGTTCACCCCAAGCAAGGCAATAAAGCCACTAAGACCCAAATGAATTACTCGGTGTAGAAGAACTAGAAAACAGAAGCATCACTAAGAAGCAAGACCATTAGAAGAGTATTCAGGAAGACACGAGATAACGGTTGGCATTGCAGTTAAATTTTCGAAGATTAAAGTTAACTGGAAAGCATGGAGCCGGGAGAGAGTCCCACAAAAAACTGTTAGCATAGAACTTACGGTTACATCTAACCAATTTAATTGTAAAATGATGAGACCTACCTGCCAATCTAGTACTGCGCTTAAATTCATAAAGTCTACGTACCATAGTGGAGAGTTCATCAGAACATTTACCATGAAAGTATTTATAGAAAAGGAATAGGGAAGCTACATTATGGCGGTGGGAAATGAATTTTAAAGAAGACATTTAATCAAGAAGCCGGAACAGACTTCCAAAAGCGAGAACTGTCGAAATACTCAGTATAAAATTATTGTTAGCATAGAATTTACAATTGCGTCTGGCCGTTTCAACTGTAAAATGATTAGACCTCACCGCCAATCTAGTTCTGTTCTTAAATTCATAAAGTCTAGGTACCATAGAGGAAAGCTCATCAGAACAATTACCATGAAAGTATTTATAGAAAAAGCACAGGGAAGCTTCATTACGGCGTTGGGAAAGTGACTGAAGATAAAATACAAGGTCAGAATCAATAACATTACAGAATTTTTGTATTTTATCAAGAATCTCTAAATACATAGCAGAAGCACCAGACGAGATGTGACAGTAGAATTCAAAGCATTGGCGAATGGTAGACGTGTAAATATGTAAGATATTTTTTTTTTACTTCTATGTAATTTCGGTCCTTCTATATGACAACGAATGTTGAATAATTTCCTCACAGATGAAGATGAAACTTGAAGCAACAGAGATGTGGTGCTACAGAACGATGCTGAGTATACCATGGACGATATATGGGAACGAAATAGAGAAGAGGGCGTCGAGAATTTGTCACTCATAGGATATAATGAAGGTAAGAGAAGGATAGAGAGTAGCCTACCCAATAAGCTTGTGTCAACAGATGACAGAAAAGCGACTAGGACGGATAATAAAAAGACAGAGATTGCGAAGAGCTACAAAGGACAAGAAATTCTGGAGAGCCCCAACGCCATGAAGAGATATGGCACAATAAAAAAAGAAAACGAAAAATGCTTTTGGAATTATAAATATTCCATGTAATTTTTTTTTTACGGAACAAAACCGACTTAAAGGAAGAAAAAAACTTAAACTGAAAACTTGGAACGATTCTTACCAACATTGATGTCTTCAAACCGGCTGGATTGCCACTGCATTCAATGGAAATTTCAGGATTTTGGCCCAAAGCCACTTCAATTTGGGAAGCCAGTTCTTTTGGAGTCCCAGCCCTCACAGACAATACATATTCTACTCCTATCTTCTTGGCAAACTCCAAGCGATTGCTGTCTATATCTAGTTTTGTATTTGAAAAGGAAAATAAAAAAAAGCATTATTAAATCATATAAACAAAAATTGATGGTCGAGAAGTTTCGATTGGAATTCAGTGTTGAGGATGTTTCATTATTGCATTTATCATCCAGTCTTATCTACTTTATTCGAACTAAGGTCCTCATCTTTTCTGTCTGAATTGAGGCGTTATCATTACTTACACTATTTATAGACGGACTATTTTCTGTTGTTGCAATCACAACGTCGTTTCTCCCCTTAACCTACGGGTACAAGTGTGGCGCCACGATGGAGAATATCTCGTCTTGTACTGTTTTTTTTTATTTTTCTTTTTTTTCTTTTTTTTTTAGAAATGCTCAGTTATTGTTATTATTCTTTTCCACTGCGTTCACAAGATCAACACCTGAAGAAGACCGGAGGGCACAACGGCTGAAACGTTGGGATAACAACAAGAAAGACGAGGAGAATAGTCCGTGTGTAAAAAGTCCTTATCTTTATTGTTGTTTTCACAATGTTTCGATCATTGTATTCTCCTGCCTTCTTCAGGCATATGCAGATCTGGTGAAGGCAGTGGAAAACAGTGTGGAATAATGGAATAACTCAGCCGATCAAGACGACATAAGAGCAGGACGAGAGTACTCTTATACACGAAGATTAAATAAAATGTTCAATTCTCTCTCTCATACACACATTGTGTGTGTGTGCGTGTGCGTGTAAGTGTAAGTGTGTACAGTAAAACTGACATAACAAAAATTTTTTATTATTTATATCTACTAGCATGAATCTTATATCTCGCCTAACTGAACGATTTTTGATTACCGGGGTTAACTTATTTGTACATACAACTTTAGATAAAATTAATGGCAAACATAAGACAAACGTGTCCTTAATAAGACAGAATGTCAAAAAGGCGGTTTTTCCCTTGACACCGCTATTATTTTAACTACCTTCACTCCTCGGCAATGTTTATTATTTTAAAATACGATGCTTAGAATTGTAATAAAACCCAAACATATAATGAAAGTGAATTTATACATTTTTTTGTTTGTTCTAGAGAATTGACAACAAAAACAATAAACATTATTTATTTGTTATATTGTTTCTTGAAATGGTTGGCAAAATATCGGCTAATTGCCAATTTATTCGAACTTTATAAAATGGTAAATAATAAGGATTTACTTAGAGTTGGTTTACATATTTTAATAATTTAACGAATTTATGAATAAAAAATAGTTTTCATATTTATTTTTTTTTATAAATTGATAAATGATAAATATTGTATTGCATTGCTTCTAATTGTATTAATATTTAGAATGTCGTAAATATAAAATTATTCTTATAAATAAGCAATCTAATAAATAAATAGTATTTTATATTTTTTGTAAATTCTCAAGAACAAAATGATGTATAAATTAATTTTCATCACACATTTCGGGCTTATTCCTGTTTTAATAATTGCTTTTTCAAACAATAAATATTGCTGAGGAGTGAAGGTAGTTAAAATAATAGTGGTGTCATGGGAAAAACCGCCCTTTTGACATCACATCGTATTTTATATTTTTATCTTTTAAATAAACAATTTCCTGTCTTAAAAAGGGTAACGACCTGTGCATTTAGATCATAGCATGTAAATAAAAGGAAGTAAGCAATGTATAATATAAATATCAAACGCTTAAATATCCTACAGTTATATGATCCAGCTATTTTTGTCTCACGATCATTTGCTGCACAAAATCAGTAAAAGTCTCTACAATTTTTTACCTGTAACGCAGATCTTTTTGGCGCCCATTGCTTTCGCTGTCAAATAACAAGCCAACCCGATCGGTCCTGGAAAAGAAAGAAATTGGTAAAGAGAGAGAGAGAGAGAGGGAGAAAGAGGGAAGAGAGAGAGAGAGAGAGTGAGGGAGAGAGACAGAGTGTGTGTGTGTGTGTGGGGAATGTGTCTTTGTGTGTGTGTGTGTGTGTGTGTGTGTGTGTGTGTGTGTGTGTGATAGTAGCGATATCAGTGTCAGCTGATATCTTATTAAATGGAAAACAACTGATGTTACAAAATTGGTTTCGGACATTGGTAAGCGGCTTGGACAAAGAAAGTCACTGAATGAAGATAAATTACTTTTTTAGACAGAGATGACACAAGACAAAGAACAATATCTATATAAGACAGTGGCCACTACCGGCGAAAAGTGGACCCACGAAGAATGACGTGAAAGGGAAGACGCCCGTTAGACTGTTCACCTCTCCACTCACCTACGATTCATCTCTGCCTCGCCCGTCTACAGCAGTAGGTTACAACCCTAGAATAAAATCTGTTCACTGCTACAAATGGTCTTAATTCGTGGGTAACGATCTGTCCGAATTTTACTTCTTTTTTTATTTTTTATTTTTAAGCCATAAACGTTTGATTGGAAGAAGCTGCACCCTGAGGACGCACCTGGTGTCTGGTCTGAGATTGAGCTTCGGGGAAGAAAACCGGATTTAATCCCAGGCGCCTGAGGCGTTCCGTTCCCAAAAGAGAAATACCGAGATGTTTGGAGAGGTTTTCGCCCTCGGCTTTGTGTCACACTCACGCGGACAGATAGCCCCGTTTAAAAAGCTGCGTAAATTAGGGTTTTTTTCTTCTGTCAATTGCAGCTGTACCTTTTTTAAAACCAGTTCAACCCAAGCAAGGCGATAATGCCACTAAGACGTAAGGGGATGAAAAGGCAACCGGAAACCTAATCCTAAACAGGGAAGGGATAAACTTCTACTCCTGTTTAAAAAAACAAAACAAAAAACAAAACAAGGGAGAAGTGTGAACCGGACGATAGGTGAACCTATTTACTACTATTGACGGGAAAAAGAATAATTAATTAGATAATAAAATTTCAGAGTCCAGACGGAGTCGTTAGAAATATAGAGTTAGTGTAGACTTTAAAAGAAACCGGAAACTAATCCTAAACAGGAAACAAGGGATAAACCTCTACTCCTGTTCAAAAGACCGGTGAGATGTGTTAACCAGGCAATAGGTGAATTTATCTACTTCTATTTAGGAGAAAAATAAATATAAATTACTATCATAATTCTGCTTGTCCTTTCCTTACTGCCAATACCTAATAAATAATGGACTATTCCGTTTTGATCGCGTAGAAAGACGGGAAGAAGCACTAATTGGTTTCAGTGAGAAAAGGGAAGGGAAGTGGGAGAGAGAATCGGATGTCGCTGATAAGAACAGATACTACACTTTAATCTTAGCCAAACGGTCGCGAAGCGTTTATTTTTCAGCGCCACCACGTCGCTACCGAATGTGACACAAGCTCGAAGTTTAAAGTGGTAATACCGTGGAAAAATTGCCCGAACCCACTCGTCATTTGCCCTTTTGGGGACGTTATAAGCGCTGATCACTAAAACCATCACCTTCCCGAAATAGAGGTACTGACTGGTGAGAAGATAGCTTGGGCTTAAAATTACTTGAAAGGCGCGCAGTATCGAACGACGAGAACCGAGTAAGACAATCGCCAAAAATCCATTTACCATAAATAAAATACCAATGTCCTCTGATTTATTTTAAAATTATTATAGAGAGAAATGTTCGTAAGGCGGTGATTTATTGTGGAGCTTACACAAAACTTAAACCAGTGTATCATTTTTTGTTTTGTCTTATGGTTTCATATCAAGACCTGTCGTCCGTAAATAAATCTGTGTAACATTATGGAAACATGTGAAGAATTCAGTGGAATCTTCGTGACTAGATATAACCGTAAGTTCTATGCTAAACGTTTCTTCTCTCGGACTTCTCGTTTGTGGAACTCTCTTTCGGCTTTTTTGCTTTCATATCAGTTTTGATCTTTCAAAAATTTAAATGTATTGTCAATCATTATCTTATGTCTTACCCGTATTCTTTCACACTCGCTAACGCACTTGCCTGTTAGTGGCTTTATTGCCTTGCTTGGTGTAAAATGATTAAAAAGAAAATTGCAATAAGAACGTTGCCTGTTTGAGTTTTAGAAAGACAAATGTTTGTTATTTGGGGATCAAATATTGTCACTACTTGCTTAAAGGATTAAAAACAGGTGGGAAGTCAAAATGATTTACTTTTTATTCAGTTTTTCAACTACGCACCCACCAAAGAAAAAAACCCTCAAAAACAAAGGGTAAAAGTACTGTTGATTTGCGCAGGTGCCACACAGATTTCATCACGAGCCACTGTACTTAACTGGTAACTGTTTTGATTAGATCTGAACGTCGTTTCTGGAGAAAATTCAATTCATTTTTTTAGCTTTTAAAGAGAAAGCGATTATATTGGCTTTAAAGTGGAAGTTCGATTACCAGTTCGATCATCCCACTTGTCCACCAAAGGAATATAAACGACCGTCAGAGGACTTTGCCAATATCAGTATATAAAAAAAAAGATGAGAGAAGTATAATCCTCTTTGTTGTCTACTCACCGGATGCTTTAGAGATAAGACGTGACTTGTTCCAATTTGGTCGACTTTTCAATCCCCAGCCAACCATTTGTTTCATTGAACACAACAAAGCAGAGTACACACCATAAAAATGCTCTAAGCTTATTTGACTAAAACTAACAGATATATATGTTAATTCTACCAAACCAATGAATGAAAGCCTCTTACAATATTCCGTAGGAGCATTACACACATCTACATACGAAAAGGAACATCTCTACATACACACTTTCCTTCAAACCCTTTTCATTTTTTTCTATTTAGTTAGCTTAGGCAATAAAATATATTGTCAATTATACGTAATTGTTTGTATAATCATCCATACTCTCTTGTATGAGGAATAGTGCAATGCACACAGGCCAGTAATATCCCCAGTACTAAACATTTGAAGAACAATTGATAATCCAGAAAAAGTTTATTATCAAACATAGGCCCACTATTTTATAGTTTTATAAAATGGGAGAAGTCTTGTTTTCGCTATAACCTATAGTGTTCGATGGGAACAGCGTCGGGCTTGCAATGTTGTGTGTTGTGGGAAAAGGGGTTTGTAGAGAATAAGACATTGCACACAAGAATCAGAGACAAAGTTCCTTATTTTCAAAATGTTTAGCCCATCTTGTACATAAAATGTCACAGTCGAAGCTTATCTTCGAAATTTTTCGATTTTGAAACTAAACAGCGTTTTCTTTAAACTTGTTCGCATCGAAGTCACTTCATAATAATGGTCATCTTCAGATATGAGAAACACAAACGAGTTTCAGGTTTCTAGTGAAAATAAAAAAATAGTATAAATTTAGCATTGAATAGTGGGAAATAGTATTACCGTCTATATTAATAAAACAACAAACTTACCAGCCCCCGAAATAAGTACTGTGGACCCGATGGTTACACCAGCACGTTGGCAGGCATGAACTCCAACTGAAAGCGGCTCCAACAAAGCCCCCTCTTCTGTACTTACATTGTCAGGCAGCCTGAAACATACAGAAACGAATATACAAACCTTTGATGTCAAAAGAGAATTGGATTTAGAGAATAAAGGAATTATTAAACATTATTTATTCACATAAAAAAAAAGCAGCTCCATAATTATTTCCATTATTTCCCTTTTATTTGTCGTCATCTATGATTGCTAGATACTTTAGCATTGCAATCAAACTCTGTAGGCTTTGTATAAACTGTGAGTAGTCAGAAGTGATTTAGCTAAGAGGAGACATAATACAAATATATATAGCGAGTATCTTCATGTATGTCTTTATAAATTTCTCACCCATCTACCACTTTACTCTTGCAGAATATTCTCACCGTCCTTCCACATATCATCTTCAGCTGTGAGGAAATTGTCCAGTATTCACTGACATATAGCAGGATTGACATTACATAGCAGTTCAGTACTCTTTTTTTGTTTCTATTGCCTTAAGCCTCCTCTTCATCTGTAAGGAAATTGTCCAGTATTCAGTAGGAGAATTGACATTATGTAAAAGTTCAGTATGTATTTCTTGTTTCTAACAAAATTTTCCTGTTTCTTAATACTTTGCTTAGGTTTTGGAAAACATCTTTCGCTGTCTCAAAGCGCCTTCGAATATCGGAGTTGCACTTTCTGTCCTTTGTTAAAGCAGTTCCCGGCTATTTAAATTGTTGTACTCGTTTGATTTTGGTATCTCCAATTTGCAATTTGCATGTTGGGATATTCCTTTTGCTGAAAACCATGCATCCCGTTTTCTTGTAACTGATGCTCAGCATTTACTGCCAAGATGGAGGACTGATATTGCTTAAAAGTTCAGTACACTTTTCTTTGTTTCAAACGAGCTTTTCCTGTTTCTGAATAATTTCGGTAAACTAATTAGGATGAGAAAGATATGGACTACTTTTGCTTAAGTGCAAAGATCTTTGTATTGAATCCCTTTTTGTCAGTGACACTGTGACTGGGACGCCCACACAGAAGTGTGGGTGTATATATGTTTTTAGCTCAGTCTCAAGTATTCTGGTTTTGAGCAAGTTTGTCTTAGAGATTTGAGAACTTGAGTTTGATCCTCGCTGGATTTCTCGCACTTGCAACCTTCTGATTATCTAAGCTCAACGTAAAGGAGAATTTGGGGAAGAAAAACCCTTTTGTACTTACTTGTGGCAATAATCGGCGGCGTGGCAGTAGTATCTTGCTAGGTTCCCGTGGTTTGGAGGCGTGGCACAAAACCGCATGATCGGACAAAGATTGTAACGTCCCGACTTGCAATATTTACAAGAACGACATGGCAGTCCAGGTTCTATCGCTACGCGATCGCCTGTGTTGAAAATAAATCAATGATATTTGCTAAACCTGTAAAATATGCTCAGATTCGAAAAGAGATGTAAAAGAAGTGAATGATACACATTAAAAAAAAAACATCACAGCTGATGAGTTAACTTGCCAGACTTGCACCTTGCTTATTTTTAATGAATTATTTTGATTTATGAGCAGCTGTTGACTATCGAGTAGATGCATTTAGGTTAAAACTGCTTACGAAAAAATCTTTGAAAATTACAGAAAAGAAAAAAAAACATAGAAACACTTTATTCCATCAAAATATTCTCATTCAGTTTCTCAATCAGGAGGGAATTACCCAGATTGGAAGGGGTTTTCGGGTAACAGGGGGTGGGTGGCACTGGTGTTATAGATTTACACATTTAAACTGTTGAAATATTGATCTTTCTACAAACTCGAACGTTAAAAACACCCCCCCCCAAAAAAAACCCCAAAAAACAAAATAAAAACAACAGAAATAAATCAGTTAACAGAAAAAGTCTATTAGAGATTTTCAGGTTGATTCAGAGAAATTTTCCGGTAATAAATGTTTCTAGGTACTATTTAACATTATGAGTAAAGGTACTTATAAGTGAATTGAATAAGGGTACTTGTAAATATCTTACAAAAAAGTAAATATAAATGACTTGGCAATGGTTTATATAAATGTATACAGGTATTTATAAATGACTTGAATCAAGGTACTTATAAATGGTTTGGATACAGGTATATATAAATGACTTTAATAAATGTACTCTTAAATGATTTGAATAAAGGTATATATATATATATATATATATATATATATATATATATATATATATATATATATATATATATATACAGGTATTTATAAATGACTTGAATCAAGGTACTTATAAATGGTTTGGATAAAATGTTAATAATGAAGAGTGTATCGGCGTTAGGGAATTGACGAACTTAGTTCAAAGCCCTGTCTTCACTGTTGCATTTACTTTCGTACAAATAAATTCGGCCCCCCAGATATAGGTTAAATAGCAGGATGGCGTGGACTCTCTGGCAGTCAGTCTAAGGGAAAGGAAACTCGGATTTCAAAACCGCCAATAAGGCAACTGGAAGCCATTCTATTATATTTCTCAAAAGATCATGGCATTTTGCTGATAATAAAGTAAAGGGATCTGTGGAGAGCCAGGACTACCTACGCACTGAAGGGGTTTGACATTAAGAAAATGTTATCTTTAGTCTCTGGTGGCTGCCGTCTAGGAAAAGGTTTCCTCTGAATTCAAAACCCATAGAGAAGGCAAAGGGAAACAACTCTACTATACTTCCCAAGAACTCATGTCTATTTTTTTTTTTTTATTGGGTACACGTGTGTAAGTTGAAATTCCTGTTTTTATTTTCATTAATCAGGGAAATTAATATCAACTGGCTTAGATCGAGAAGTCCTACGAAAGGGAGGTACAGGAGTCGAAACTGTACCTCCCTTTTTCCATTAGGGAAACCATACCGATAGCAGAAACATGTCACTACCAACTTGACTGCAGGGAAACAAAGCATAATTACTCAAGTAATGCAGATTTTTCGTTGACATTTCTTCGAATACATGTCTACCCGTTTCATACCCGAAACGTATGTTTTTTTTTTAAAGTACATACAGTTAAAATAAACATTCGGAATGCTATCTAACGAAAAAGAAAACAAAAACAACAAAAAACAGAAGCAGCACGAGGTTTTGGGTCAACCAAATAAAGTTAATGTTAACCTAACTTAAAAAAACAAAATACAACCATCTTACCTATTTCCAAGCAGGTGACCCCGTCGCCGATTTTGCTGACGATTCCGCTGGCTTCATGTCCCAACAACATGGGAGCAGACAAGATAAAATTACCAATGCAGCCGTGTGTCCAATAATGGACATCAGAGCCACAGATGCCTACGTCCTGCATTGCGAGTTGAACTTCTGCAAATGATAAAATCCAGCAACGTTAAGGATTTCATATCAAGAGAGATAATCCTGTTAAAAAATAAAATCGAGGGCACAAAACTGAATAAAAGAAAGAAGAGCAATCAAAATTTCCAGGGCTTAAAATCAAACAACTTTCCGTCCTGGGTGTGACGATAAACTACATCCGGCAGCAAGACCTCTGATCGGGAGGTTTTGAGGAGTGTGGAAGCACCTCTTAATTGCTGGTGTTTCCAGGTCCACCCTGACCCGGGTTGGTAGTACCTGTTAGGGTCCCAGCTATGGGCAAATAGTTAACCCCGAAACTGGGGTCCTGGTGGTCCTGGGTATGACGATAAACTACATCCGGCATCAGGTAGGTGGAGTTCGATAGCCTGGGAAGGCAAGTTTACCTAGGGGAAAAGAAAACCCTTTTTTCAAACCTTCGCTGAAAAACCTTCGCATAGAAAAGACTTCACGAGTAAACCTCGGAGAAAAATCCGGAGACAGAGTCCCTAAGGCAGTTCGTCGTTGTACCCAACCCGTTCTGGCAGCTCCTTCAACGGCGCCGGTCTCAAACTGTAGCGACCCTGTCGTTACTTTGGCCTCACCGGTGACGTGGAGAGCGGGGACGTGCTATATGGGCAACAGCCTGTCCTCCATATCACATCGACCAGGCTTGCATCCGACCACATACTTATGCTAGAGACAAAATTATTCATAAATACTAGCAGGACCAGTACAAAACTACCCGGATTTACTAATATTAATTTAAATACTGCTTTCTGTACTACTCAACTCATGACTATTTTCAAATAGTAGGTACCCCCAAAGAAACGCGATACCTGAGGTTTAAAATAAATTTTGAAAAATGAAAAATCTTTCTTAAAGCTTTTATTTTAGTTTTAATTTTAAGCTAATAGATTAAATTTAATATTACTAATAAGCAATATACTTTTCTATATTTCGAACCTAATTTAAATTGACTTGGAGGAGTTTTTTTTAATCTCTAAAAATAGCCCGTTGTCAACGCCATTTTGATTCAACTGTCAGCACAATGTAAGTCTCTTTATTAAAAAATCTTTCAAAAATTAAATATGTTTTTCTTAAATGTATTCAGAAATGTATTTTTTAAATGTATTCAGAAATGTATTTTTTAACATGGAGATAGGTGCTTATTTAAGGTGTTCACAGGTTGACAGCTTGAATGACAGGCGGAAATTTATCTAATGTTTTTCTACGAGGGACATATATGGTAGTAGTACTCCATTTTCGGCCTGATCTGACTCTTGTAAAGGTAGAGGAAAACAGGAGATTGCTGGAGCGGTATAGGGAATAGACCTTTTAGCGATGTATCGTATGTACGAATTCCACTTGAGGTCTGGTCTGAGGGGACATCCGTTCATCGCAAACAGTTCTGGGTTCGATCGGCGATGGAAGAATGCCATTTGTTTGGGGTGAAATTGTCGGAGTTTTCTCAAACGTCCACACACACACACACACAAATTTTATTGTCTATGTCTATTGTAAAATTGTTTTGTTTAATACATATATTTGTTTATATATATATTATATATATATATATATATATATATATATATATATATATATATATATATATATATATATATATATATATATATATATATCGGTCTTTTTATCTTCAATTGGACTTAATTCAAGTCCGGCCATTTTCTTTTAGATGGACCATTTAATATTCTACCAGGAGTTGCACACGTGTTTCTAATACAACAATACACAAACACACACTGTCCTCTACAAAATGATAAAAAAATGGTAAGAATGATTATTATTTTATTTCCAAGAAAATATCGATCTACACTAAATTATCAAAAAGTCAAGGGAATAAAAATATGTACAATGTGCTTAGGTGATTCCTTTATTTCTAGTATAGTACTGATCATAATTTATCAAAGTTTTATCAATATGACTCATCTTGTGGCTAACGGGATCTGCATTGGAGAAACATACCCTACCATATTCGTCACACGTAAATATATGGATTGCTGGATCAATTAAATAAATATATGGATTGCTGGATCAATTAATTTCAGTTTCCTAGCTGCATATCTGATACTTGACGAACTCGTATTTTCTTGGAATATCTTAGAATCTTCATGAATAGTATGTTTTTCTGTTATATCGATCACAAGCAACAGTTTCATAATGCGATCTGCTGCATCTTTACAAAAGAATGCCATCGCTTCATCTTTTGGTTTGGTTTATGATTTATTTTGTTTTACGGCATATCAACCTCAATGGGTTATTTAATGCCAATAACATTTTTAGGATAGATTCGTAAGAATAGAATATGTATTCTTTGGTTTAGATTGGTTTGGTTTATTTTGTTTTACGGCATATCAACCTCAATGGGTTATTTAATGCCGACAACATTTTTAGGATAGATTCGTAAGAATAGAATATGTATTCTTTGGTTTAGATTGGTTTGGTTTATTTTGTTTTTACGGCATATCAACCTCAATGGGTTATTTAATGCCGACAACATTTTTTAGGATAGATTCGTAAGAATAGAATATGTATTCTTTGGTTGAGATTGGTTTGGTTTATTTTGTTTTACGGCATATCAACCTCAATGGGTTATTTAATGCCGACAACATTTTTAGGATAGATTCGTATGAATAGAATATGTATTCTTTGGTTTAGATTGGTTTGGTTTATTTTGTTTTACGGCATATCAACCTCAATGGGTTATTTAATGCCGACAACATTTTTAGGATAGATTCGTATGAATAGAATATGTATTCTTTGGTTTAGATTGGTTTGGTTTATTTTGTTTTACGGCATATCAAACTCAATGGGTTATTTAATTCCGACAACATTTTTAGGATAGGTTCGTATGAATAGAATATGTATTCTTTGGTTTAGATTGGTTTGGTTTATTTTGTTTTACGGCATATCAACCTCAATGGGTTATTTAATGCCGACAACATTTTTAGGATAGATTCGTATGAATAGAATATGTATTCTTTGGTTTAGATTGGTTTGGTTAATTTGTTTTACGGCATATCAACCTCAATGGGTTATTTAATTCCGACAACATTTTTAGGATAGGTTCGTATGAATAGAATATGTATTCTTTGGTTTAGATTGGTTTGGTTTATTTTGTTTTACGGCATATCAACCTCAATGGGTTATTTAATTCCGACAACATTTTTAGGATAGGTTCGTATGAATAGAATATGTATTCTTTTGTTTAGATTGGTTTGGTTTATTTTTGTTTTTTACGGCATATCAACCTCAATGGGTTATTTAATGCCGACAACATTTTAGGATAGATTCGTATGAATAGAATATGTATTCTTTGTTTTAGATTGGTTTGGTTTATTTTTTTTTTTACGGCATATCAACCTCAATGGGTTATTTAATGCCGACAACATTTTTAGGATAGATTCGTATGAATAGAATATGTATTCTTTGGTTTAGATTGGTTTGGTTTATTTTGTTTTACGGCATATCAACCTCAATGGGTTATTTAATGCCGACAACATTTTTAGGATAGATTCGTATGAATAGAATATGTATTCTTTGTTTTAGATTGGTTTGGTTTATTTTGTTTTACGGCATATCAACCTCAATGGGTTATTTAATTCCGACAACATTTTTAGGATAGGTTCGTATGAATAGAATATGTATTCTTTGGTTTAGATTGGTTTGGTTTATTTTGTTTTACGGCATATCAACCTCAATGGGTTATTTAATGCCGACAACATTTTTTTAGGATAGATTCGTATGAATAGAATATGTATTCTTTGTTTTAGATTGGTTTGGTTTATTTTGTTTTACGGCATATCAACCTCAATGGGTTATTTAATTCCGACAACATTTTTAGGATAGGTTCGTATGAATAGAATATGTATTCTTTGGTTTAGATTGGTTTGGTTTATTTTGTTTTACGGCATATCAACCTCAATGGGTTATTTAATTCCGACAACATTTTTAGGATAGGTTCGTATGAATAGAATATGTATTCTTTGGTTTAGATTGGTTTGGTTTATTTTGTTTTACGGCATATCAACCTCAATGGGTTATTTAATGCCGACAACATTTTTAGGATAGATTCGTATGAATAGAATATGCATTCTTTGGTTTAGATTGGTTTGGTTTATTTTGTTTTACGGCATATCAACCTCAATGGGTTATTTAATGCCGACAACATTTTTAGGATAGATTCGTATGAATAGAATATGTATTCTTTTGGTTTAGATTGGTTTGGTTTATTTTGTTTTTACGGCATATCAACCTCAATGGGTTATTTAATGCCGACAACATTTTTAGGATAGATTCGTATGAATAGAATATGTATTCTTTGGTTTTAGATTGGTTTGGTTTATTTTGTTTTACGGCATATCAACCTCAATGAGTTATTTAATACCGACAACATTTTTTTAGGATAGATTCGTATGAATAGAATATGTATTCTTTGGTTTAGATTGGTTTGGTTTATTTTGTTTTACGGTATATCAACCTCAATGGGTTATTTAATGCCGACAACATTTTTAGGATAGATTCGTATGAATAGAATATGCATTCTTTGGTTTAGATTGGTTTGGTTTATTTTGTTTTACGGCATATCAACCTCAATGGGTTATTTAATGCCGACAACATTTTTAGGATAGATTCGTATGAATAGAATATGCATTCTTTGGTTTAGATTGGTTTGGTTTATTTTGTTTTACGGCATATCAACCTCAATGAGTTATTTAATACCGACAACATTTTTAGGATAGATTCGTATGAATAGAATATGTATTCTTTGGTTTAGATTGGTTTGGTTTATTTTGTTTTACGGCATATCAACCTCAATGGGTTCTTTAATGCCGACAAAAAGTTTTATTGCTGGTAATATTTTGTTTTATCAAAAATCTGTTTCTGGTAATATATTTGCTTCAAAATTGTATTACTGGTAATAATTTTTTCCAAAAAAGTATTGCTAGTATTAGTTAACTATTTGCCCATAGCTGGGATCCTAACAAGTGCTACCACCCTGGGTCAAGGTGAACCTGGGAACACCAGCAATTAAGAAGTGGTTCCACACTCCTCAAAACCTCCTGATCAGTGGCCTGGCTGCTGGACGTAGTTTAACGTCTTACCCAGGACGTGTTCATCTTTTGGGGAGTCTTGAAAGTGACTTTCTCCTACGTCACACTCATGTGTCGCTTCAGCCCGGCGTCAGATCTGCAAATTTTATCACAGAACTGCAGTTCTATGAGGAAGAACATTCACATAGTCGGCATTAGACTGCTGCTTTCCATGTGATCTCAGATGACTATCAAATTCGGCACGAGTTCGAACAACTTTTCTGCAGATGTTACATGCAAACTCAGACTGCATATCTTCTGGGATCGAGTTGACATCACCCTTTCCTAAGAGCTCTTTTCAATTTCAAATGATGACCTTTTTGATCTCAAAGCAATTAAAAACACCGAAAATTATCTTTCCTCAATCAAATCTATTCTTTGCCTCTATTTCTCAACTTCTTGAGACGAATTTTAAGAGTTTTCAGGTTTTATCTTTAGCATCTTTGAAACGTTTTGCAGAGTTTCTGTCTGAGGCGCTTACCAAGAGCAAGCTCTCCGTAAAACAGGTGCGAAGGCAATCTGTCATTTTCCATTCTCTTGAGATGCCCTGTCCTGCGCGGTTGATTGCGAATAAGCAGATTCTCTATGCTGGGTGTATTGGCCAGTTGAAGAAAAACTGCGTTTGGTGCAAAAGACAGCCACTTGGTCTTTAAGATACGCCTCAAGAACTTTAGAGGAAATCAGTTACATACATACATACACACATACATACATAAGTAAAAAATATCTCACCTCCAGGACCAGGCTCAGGTATGGCTCGATATTCCTAAAGAATAAAAAACGACATTTGAATTTTACATTAATTATTTTACAAGAATCAAACGATCTAATAATTATCAATGTGTATTTATACTAGATTTAAGCTGTCAAAATTTCACGGTTTTCCTATTTGATAAATCTTATTTTTTTAAGTTAATGATTGAATAAGCGCATGGCGAGATCTACGACAATAAAATATCCGTAGAAACTCGCTTATCTTATCGTTAAATATTTGAGCTGAACAACTTGAACAAAATATTGCAATAACAATCATAAATATGAAATGATGGTCGATATTTTAAGAAGTAAGTGGGTACAAATGAAAAGATTTGGAATTGACAACTTTTTCATTTCACTGAAACAGATGTTAAACATTTCTTTCTTTCTTTCTTTCTTTATTTCTTTCTACCCAAATCCATGTCTTACGGACATTTTTCTTAATAATCTCTCTCTCTCTCTCTTTCTCTCTCTATATCTCTCTATATATATATATATATATACGTTTTTTTATATATATATAATATATATATATATACGTAACAAGCAGCCCAACCCGGTACCGTGCTAACTTGGTCACATTAACACTTACTGATATCGCTATCGAAGAGAGTTCATATATATAATACACCACATATATCTTCAAGTATGCTTTGTTCATTTTTAGAAATTCATTTTAAACATTAAAAATTATAATTAAAAAAAAGAGGGGGAAAACAATTTTTGTAATAATTCATTAATTATTGAAAGATTTTTTTTATTTTATTTATACTTACATTCTTCATTTATATTATTTATGATTGCAATTAAAAGTTTATACAATTGAATAATTAGATAGTTTTAATGCAGTTTTTATGTTACAATTCGGAGCATATCTTGTGCAATTTTGTAATAGATTGAGAAAAAAAATAAATAAAAGAATAACTGATGATACGTTGCTCTTTGTAGGATGAGAAATAAGCAGATTCTGAAATTCCAGATTAAATCTATGGATTGTTAAGGATTACTCAGACCTTCCAAAGTTTATACAATAAATATTATGCTTTGGGAACTTTTACAGTAAACATAATTTTGCTTGTAAATATGTAACATTTATGAGGTGTTTATAAACTGTACACTGTTCTATTATTAATGTTAACAATGAACTATTTTAAATTACAATATTGTACTTGGATTAAACGAAAATTACTTACAATACAATACATATTACTTATAATACATTCCTTCAGTCAATTTTGACGGCACGGGTACATTAGTTAAAAAATAATTCAGCAGACGATGTTTTTTTTTTCATTTATCCGTTTTTAATCTTTTGATATGAATGCTGGTGGTTGTTTTAAGACGTAACAGTGTACGCAATTAAAACGGAATAGTCCATTATTTATGAGGTATTGGTGAGGGCGTAAAGGTCGGGAGAGCTAATGAAAGGAGAGGTAAACAAGTATTATTATATGATATTTATTTTTCTTGTCCCATCTCTAGTAGGAAGGGAGATAAATCAATTTAAGTTAATAAATTTATCAGTGATTACTTCCCTTAGTTTTTTTTTAATTATACTTATTATAAAACCCAGGTTGTTTGTGTGTGTGTGTGTGTGTGTGTGTGTGTGTGTGTGTGTGTGTTCGTTCGTTTATATATGGGATCGGATTTCCTACATTTTTCAACCGATTTCAACAAAACTTCACTTTTTTTTTTGGCAGGTAGTGTTTCTTATTGTCTTGCACACTTTTTTCTTTATTTTTACATTCAGAATGCTTTAAAAATTCTATTTACAAGACAATTGTTTATAATAAAATTGAAAATTTCTCTTCAATCGGTAGACTCATAACGATTGAAAACAATGTTTTTGTTTGAGTTTGGGTGTGACCAATTGGTAAAAAAACAAAAAAACTAATTAAGACATGCGTGTCCGTCAACCATAAACAATAATCTTTGTCAAGTTTATTTGTCAGTCTTTATGATGGTCGATACTTGATCTATCTCTTACTGTTACATCCCCGGGCAACGCCAGGCTCTACTGCTAGTAATCTATAAAATAAAATATTTATCTTCAATGAGACAAAATTAGTTCCCGAGTAAAATGTACCGTTTAATTAATTAGTTCAATTACTCCTACGTTTCTTAGACTGCAGTCTTATTTGTTGAAGCCTTTCAGGTGAGGCACCCAGATAACTTTGCCTATTAAGTGATCGTCTTGATTCAACTTGGTCTTGAAATAGGCTTTGTAGACGCCATTTTTGCCATTCTGTTGCTAATCTTTTTCTTTCGAAAAATATTTTTCCATTTGACTGTTATATTAAACAAATCAAAATTTGAACATAAAAAGATAGGCCTGCTTTTTGCTCAATATCTTTTTATGTTAATTTGTGACCATATCACACTGAAACACCTGTTCCCGTACGATCACCGATATTAAGCAACATCGAGCCTGGTCAGTACCAAGATGGGTGACCGCTTGTTAATAAATACCAATTGCTGTAGGCTTGGATGTGCGGGTGGTGTAGTGGATGATTGCACGGAATTGTTAATCGGATAGCTGAGTTTCAATTCCAGTTGGGTTCTTTATATTCACTTACGCACAAATACTTTGTTATGAGCTTGAAGCCGCTCAAGAATTTTACGCTTGTACGAAATGTCAAACATTCCGTCAGTCAGTCTAAGCAAAATTAGTTTGTCTTCGATAGACATTTGTTTTGAAGCCATTCTTTCAAATTCACAATATCTCGACACTCCTTTCAATCGCTGTACATATACAGCATAATAGTTTCATCCGGTCTCTGTCTACTTTCGAGAAATTTAATTCTTTCCGCCATTACCAATCTTTTTTTTTGTTGTTTATTAGCTTTTATGATGGCAACAATTTCTTCATAGACTAAATCTTCCAACATTTTTGCGATAGACCATGATGGAGCTTTTTTTATAGTCTCACACCCTGCTGGGGCCAAAAACAAATCCATAACTTCATTTTCTCCTCCACTAACTTTGGCGTCCTTTAATTGTTTCACTCTCGCCGACGCTGCGAAACACCTAAGCCAGGTTTCAATATATTCAAGATCCTATATCATTGTTAAGTAACCAATTAGTGATGCCATATTGTTATGACAGGTATTCCCTCTGACAGATGTAGTCACGTCAAGAGAAGATAACTCATTATTTATTATTGTTAAAAATACAATAATTGTGGCGCAAGGCCAAAAGAGGGAAATAGGGTGAGGCTGGTCAACATTAACTATCATAGTGTAAGCGATCTGGGATTGCAAAGGAAATATTTGTCGCAGATTATTTCCACAACGCAGAGAATAAATCACTAAGTTCAGACTCGATCATCGGGGGCAGAAAGAAATGCTGGAAACTCGATTCGCAGGTAATATCTCACGAATCACAATGCACGCAACCAGTCAAAAAAAATAACTCACTCTTCAACAAATGCGGTAGCCAAAATACCCAACTTCCCCCGATTCGAGAACACCAACTGCTTTTATCGGCCGAGCATTTTTTTCATTCGTCGACAACTGGGAGAGGACGCTCAATTTTTGTATATCAAAATACTTTTACAGCGACTCCTGCGATTGACTTATTTCTAAAATATTCCGTCTTCAGCATGTCATGCGGAATACGTGCCCTTTTTTTTGGTAAGTAATTTTCTTTTTCGCCACATTTTCCGTCGTAGGATACACGCGACACGCTGTCGCTTGGTTTGACGAGGTAAGTCGCCGTTTTCTTCTCTCTACATAGCTAATCAAATTCACGACTCATCCATTTATTACAATTTACTCAATCACCGCAAGAAATCATCCTTCACTATTCACTCCTACATAAAATGCCCATATAAAATCTCATATAGAAATGTCCATAGAAAATAAAAATATAGGGAGGATATGAAATGAGGAGGATGGGATGAATACTAAAAACAAACAAAAATATGACAAAATAAACAAACTGAAATTAAAAGATGTTAGTAGGACCCGCCCCCTCTCAAAAATAAGTGGCCGCTGTATTCTGTCTTCAGTTAGAATCAAGAAGCTCACTGGCGGAGAAGGAAGGATAAAATCAAAGACTGACCCTGTTGAAATGAAAAAGGAAGCCAAAAACAAATTGTAGAGGTTAGGGATCTCGACTTGAATTATAACAAAAGAGAAAGACGGGAACAGGCTTGAACGACACTTACATTAATTAGGTAGAAAAAGAGAGTCTATCTTAACCAGGGGAGGCTTCCACAGGAAACCAACCTGTTATGACCAAGGAGACTTAAGAAAGAAAATCAAGGTTAGCCCCGTTCACACGAACCGAGCTCGCTACTTTCATCCACCTTTCGCTCAAATCTGTTGATAACAAATGCTTTCTATTATTCCTGATGTTGATTTTGAGCTGATGTTCAAAGAATTTGAACAGATCCTGATGAGAATAGCATTCGTATCGCAAGGTTCCCTCTATCCGAGTAGTCCAAATAATGGTCAGCAGCGTCAGAGTGTTGCACGCGTAGGCAAGATCAATGAGCACGTGTTTTTCGGGGGTGATACGACCCGTCAACTCGCCGGCATAGACCCAGAAGAGACGCACCTTCTACGGACAATAGTAGAAAGCGTGCGAAGCTGTTTCCTCTAACCCAAGGTCACGCCTATGACAGTGAGGCAAATCCACTAAGCCCCATTTGAAAGCTACGCCTTTGAAAGATATCCCATTCTGAACCATTTGCCAGATAATCGAAAATTCAGGGTTGCTGTGGTAATCCGTCGCTGGCGCCAAGGACAAAAAGAGATCAAATCAACCGCCGACAAGGCGAGTCGCCCACAGAGAGGATCCTTCGCGACCTCCTCCATTAATTCCCGATACAAGTGTCTTCAAGGCCGCTCGACACTTCCGGAAGATCTCTATTGATTCCGGGGCTTACGACGGCGCTCAGTTCTAGAAATGGTAGGAGTGATGGTAAGGCTAGGGAGGGTGTCCCTAACACTCCACACCCAAAATTGAGTCCTCTGTCAACACGCGGCATAGGAAAGCCATCTCGAGGAGTGTCGGTAACTCAACAAGTTTGGCATTCCCAGTACCTCATGACATGGACGTTGGGCATAGACATCTCTGTTTACAATGTTTGTGACCATCTCACAAGTAGGAGAACAAGCGCTCGATCGCCTTCTTATGTTCCTTACAGAGAGAAAGTACAGACTACTGGCGAAGGAAGAGAGGAAAGATGTAAGTGGCACATGCCTCATCCCTACCCTTTAGGGACAACCGCCTTCGGAGCCAAATCCGGACCGACGTTCCGACCTTTGCCTGTACCTCTCATCAATTCTTCTCCAGCTGGAGCCCGTGCCCGAACCACACTCTAAGAATGCGGACGGATCTGTCAGTTCAACCAAAGAGCCCCAGAATAGCGACCTCCTTCCAGGCACTTGACCGCAAGCCGGAAGACATGTTACGGTTAATCTTGGCTCCTGTGACATTTTCTTACCGTTCAAGTGCCTTCTATACCACCCCAATGTCACTGCAGCACGACACGAAAATGGATACGTCATCAGCGTATGCGGAACCATCGCTCGATCCCACCAGGGACAGCGATTCCACATAGAGCCGGACAGTGGGCAACCCTGACGAACCGACCGCTTTCCGTTCACCTGTAACATAGCACTGGATGCTAGCTCACTTGCAGAAGTTGGCGGGACAGAAGCCAGGTACCGATGGTCGACCTTATCAAATGCCGTGGACTGATCCAAATTCGTTAGACATCTTGTTTAACCTATGCCTAAGTACCTGACCCTTGTAGTGCTCGCTACCCGATTGCTCCAAAGTCTGTCTAGCTAAATCTATCTCAAGGGAATCCCCCAGCCTTCGTCCGGGACAGACTATCCTTGAGAGCCTTCACTTTTTAGCCTTATCTAGGGAGAGCTGTTAACTATAATTATTGGTGAAGGACTTAATGCTATCTTTAAGTCTCCCCCACCATTTATTCCCAATAACCGTCCCCACTAGTTCCCGCTGCACTAATCTAATTAGCAGTTGCCGGATTGAACTTCCAGTGTCCAACTATTCTAGGCCTAGCACTTAACGCCATCCAGGCACAGACACGCATCGACATGGACAAGGTCCACCCTCGCACCCAGGGTACGTTTAACAAGCAAGGAAACACCTCTGTCCAGCTGGTCCCCGTACGCTGAATAGACAACAAAGTTTCTAGACAGCACATTAGCATCGAACAAAATGCGTCTTTTCGATCGCAGCGGCATCTACCCCGAAGGACAACAGATCACGAAGCAGGCAGGCCGTCTTATTCTGATCCCTCAAGCCATTCAAGCTATCTTGAGAGACATTTTTAAAGTTGGATCTCCTAGTCACAGGCTAGGCGGAAATCTGCGGGGCCAAGGACTCCGACGGTTTTTCCTAGGCTCCCTGTGCCCATCATCCGGCCATGTAGTCCGTGGGATATGTTAGCTTAAGAATCCTATATAAGGAGGGATGGAGAATTACCTGGGCCCTCCCTGCACGGAATTTAGATATTTTTTCTATTCTGGGGTTCCCACCTGGGTCATTCAATTTTCGGGGAAAGCGTCTTTTGCCTTGTAAATATGATTCCATATATTTGAATCTTTCCCCGTATCCCTTATCCATGTTATTACACCTGGGACCCTAGGGAAATTACGGGGATCATCCACCGACTTCCCGTCGACAGCGCCTACTTTAAATAACGGAACCATGAGGGCATTTTCCTGAGTGGAAAGGTCCTTTTCCAGTTCCCGCCTGTTTATCTGACAGACCTTTTTCCTCTCTGAGGAAATGTCTTTTTCTTTTTTTCTTTGGACGGGTTGTGAGGGGTGGATATCGACTGGGACGGAACACTAGAAGGAGAAGGGGAAGATTTCTTGATTTTGCTGGCGAAGCCGGGACGGGTTGGGACTTGATTTTGTCCATGGCCTTCACCTTCTTCGTCCAGTCCGCTTCGTTGATGCATTTGCTGTTGTTGTTACTTTTATTGTTGCTGCTTTTGTTGTTTCTTCTCTTGTTTTTGTTGACATTGTTTTTGTTTTTGTTGTGGCAGTAGTTCCTGTTGTTTTGTTGCTCTTTTCCACCTGATGTTGTGGTTGATGCTGTTTCGCCTGCTCCGGCCGCTTCTAGGTTTGTCGTGGGACATCCTGCTGGGGAGGAGGGCTTGCTGTATTCCCTTAACTCTACACCATCTCCTTCCAAACATCGGGGGGCTTGCCAAGCTCTTCCACTACTTCCACCGTTGATGTTGCTGGGTGTGGTTGTGGCGCCATGTTCTTACCGAGGCACACTTTCGACATGTGTCTCGAGGCACTACACAACCAGCAGTAGGGTTAACGGCTTTCTACCACCACCTTTTTTTTTCAAACACATCGAAATGTCGGGTATTTCTGTGAATATCTTCCAGACCATTGTTACCTGGTGAACAAAGTCCCCGGTAGCAATGACCGCCTTATAATTGCCGAGACATCCTCAGCTTGTACATATCAGACAAAAAAGGTCCCATTCTGTACTTGATAATATCCACGGGCACCCTCCTGTTTTCTGGTGTCCATGTATTCAGTCTGTAAACGAAATGATTTTGCCATTAAGATGCATACGGACAATGCTTGGTTTCTTGCTCAGTAACCAGCAAGATGTCCTATAAGTTATTTGATTTTCTGGCTAGTATCTTTGGCCCAATCTTTAGACTCTTTAGCGGCTCCTCCATTGTCTCCATGCTAATCCTAATCAATTTCCGAAAACGGCTCGATTCATCGAATGATCATTGGGCGTATAAACCCCAATGAGCCGAAGAGACTTATCCTTTATGTTAACATCCAACACGCAAAACCTGCCCACTGGATCTGCAAGAGCACACACCGCATTCAAAGACTTTCTTACTAGCCAGGAAACACCTCTCGAGTGTCCATTAAAACATGATGAATGGAGGACAAACCTTGTAGACAGAATGCATTCAGAGTCACGGGTTGAAAACCGGGTAACCTGTACACGACATACATCCACCCCGAGATGCTGTATACCGCGAGTACGACTCGACTCACGAGACTCTGACCTCAGCCCAGGGCGTTCAAACTAGCTAACCAGAGTGCCATTATCAGTCCGATTAGGGTTGTGAATTGAACATGGCCCAGGTGAGGACACCGACGGTCTATCCTACTGACCCATGGCCCATTTCACTTTGGATGGTGCCATCAAGAGACAGGCCACCAATGTCCTGGGGGAATGTTAACTCTAGGGATTTATAAAGGGAGGGATGAACAAAAAGCGGAATTCTCCCTGAACAAAATTGATGTAACTTTTTGAAATTCATCAAAAAAGCCAACGGCGAAAACGTAGAAAATGCATCATTTGCTTTTTGTAACATTGCTCAAATCTTTTGAAATCCTTTTCTAGACATTATTACGGTCAAGTCCCTTTTTGCTTTTGGAAAATTTTTAGGGTCTTCAACGTCTTTTCCGTTGATTTCTTTAAAGTTTAGTAAAATTTTTAAGTCTTTAATTTTCCTTGACTTTGTAATTGTTTTATCTGCCTGCTCAGGTGTCACTCGGCATACGTCTCCTCCGGAATTGTAAGCGGGGTGGATTTTATCGTTTTTTTTTCTATGTTGGCGATGTTTTTTTTTCGGCTGATGGGCTGAGTTGTCTTTTCTATTTCTACAATTTCTTGAATGAGTTTGTCGGAAGTAGCTCTTCCTTAATTCCCAAATTGTCACAAGGGGTCACTCTCCCTATACTATAAATACTAGGCGACTTCTTGCCTCGTTCTCTTTCTTTCAGGCCTCGTGCCGCATCCCACCTCGCGTGGAGGTGAGGTAAATCCTCTTTTTCATTTCTTCATTTCAGTGACTACAATGTAAGCTATCTTAGAAGATCCGCGTCTTCCCATTTGTGGGAGACGCCATGAATAAACACACATACACGTACGTACGAACATTCACCAAACAACAGACACAAACGTCCACACACACACACACACACACACACACACACACACACACACACACACACACACACACACACACAATATTATTGTCTATGTCCATTGTAAAATTGTTTTGTTTAATACATATATTTGTTTATATATATATATATATATATATATATATATATATATCGATTTTGTTTGTCTTCTTTACATCTTCACTTGGACTTAATTCAAGTCCGGCCATTTTCTTGTAGTTGGACCTTTTAATATTCTACCAGGAGTTAAACACATGTTTCTAATGCAACAACACACAAACCACACGGTCCACAACAAGGTCATAGGTTGAGGTGAAGGGGATGGATTAGGAGTGGATACAGAAGAGTTGTTTTTTTTTGTTGTTGGAGATTTGGTAGTGGGAAGCTTTTTCAGGGAGGTCATTTGGGTTGGGTGGGAGTTACGGTCTGCTTTTTGAGAGATGGGGAAGACGGTGCCGTGGAAGAAAGGTCAATTCTTTTCACAAATGTTTCTGATGCACTGTCATTTCTTATCGATTCCTTATCGAATCCTTATCGAATCTCTCAAACTTCTCGAAGCTGGGCTCGTATCAGAATCTTTTTGGTCGGATCTTTTCCGTATATGTGGCCGAAGCATCTCCCTTGGAAATTGTAGAGGGAGCGGGACGCTCTGTGCCTTATGCTGTGGTGGTTTCTGGGGACAAAGGTCCCGTAGTTTGAGCTTTCCTTTGGTCTTACCAACGATCTGCCATTCCCCCTTTTCCTTCTTCGCAACCGCACAAGCGGCAGACAAAGGCTTTTGGGGGGCGCGAAAAGGACTCGACCGAGGGTTTTACGACACCGGTCCTTGTAGCTGGTATGCCAATTACAGGTGAGACGGAAATAATAGATTCGGTCAAAGAGGATTTTGGTCAGGGTTTTGGATTTTCGAAATTATGATTGACCGTAAAGCTTTCACCTCCATCCCCAACTGTCTGGATGTAGAGGGCTAGAAAATACCGGTCACTGTGACTGAATTGTGGATAGACTAGTCATCTCTCCTCTTCCCGCCCAGAGAAGAAGGAGTTCTGAAAATCCACCCCCACTCAGGTCGTCGGAGGAAGCGCTGAGTATTTGCCCATATTGAGCCAGATAAGCGGATAAGTGCTCCCGTAAGACCTGAGGAGGGACCTAAAATACTGATACTGGTTCTCTGCTTGTCTTCATATTTAGTTCTTATGATGAGGTCCCGACTGGAAGCGTCCTCACAGTCGACAGGCGTGGGTAACAGTACGACCCGCGGGAAATATCCCTTGCGTCTTGTGACTCTTTAGGATTTCACCTCCACGGACATCAAGGATTTGTTGATGGTGTTTTTTTTTTGTGGTGAGACATGTTTTGCGCGAACGCTTGTCGACCACAAAGACCGGCACAATTCTTTTTCAACCTACTGTAATTCCTGAAGGTCTACCAAGAACCCATCTTCTTTGATAAGATGTGCGTAGCTCTTGGCTCTCTCCAGGAGGTCCGTCATGTTGATTATGTACTTCGGTGGAGACTTACAGCAAGAGGGCGAGTCCCTGGCCACTACATTTCCATCTTTGCTTTTTTCGTTGTTGTTGTTATTGGAGTCAGATGGCAACGCATTTTGATACATATACGCATTTGAATATATTTTGGTCGTCATTGTTCACAGTAGTCACTGTTGACTGAATGTGTTTTTTTTTCGGGAGGGTCTATTTTTTTTTTTGACCGAACAGGTGTTTTGTAATTGACCGACGTTTATCGTCCATTTTTGTTTACTTTAAATATAACATTTGTTTTTTTCTTTTTAACAAAAAAACGGAATTTTCTTAAAAATAAATAAAAAAAAATCTTAAACAGAAACAGAATAATGAAAAACAAATGAAAATGAAACAAAAAGACCGACTAAAGGTGATTTAAGAAAAGGGTTTTGATTTAAAAATGGTTACACAAATTAAAACAAAGTCTTTCTCGAAAAGGAAAGCAAATCCAACAATGAAAAGAGAGAGCAAAAGACAGGCGAAAAAAAAAAAAAAAAAAAAAAGGTTTGGCGTGAGAAATAAAAGAAATAAATTTAATGTAGAAACACAACTAAAAAGGTTTTTCGTTTTTTTGTTTTTTTTTTTAAATTAAAACCAGCAAAATAGACCAATTATGAAAGAAATCCGACAAAAGAAAAAATATAAAAAAGAGATACGTGTTACAAATTTTACCAATTAAATGGCCAACATGAAAATAAAATAAAAACAGATTAAACTAAAATTAAACTCGGAGACGAGTAAAATCTAACTTTAGGGCACAAAAAAGATGTAACACGTAAAAAAAAAAAAAATGAAAGTCAGAAAGATTATGCAAAAAACGAGAAGATATACGAGACAATAAAATAAAAAAAAAAAAAAAATAAGTTTACGGACGGGGGCTGAAAAATAGAAGATATTGAAAATTAAAATACAATATACAGAAAAAATAAATTAATAGACTTGTGAAACTAAATGTTACACTAGCAGCAATAATAATAATAATAATAAAAACTGGGATGGATGGGTCGGGTTTGTCTACCTCCCCAAACGAGACTTATCCGTAGGCATATCCTCGTCTGGGTTCCTCTCTACTCGAAGGTAGAGAATTCAACAAGTGTGTAGCAAGACTAACAGCGAACTGCCTGACTACAACGGACTTTCTTATGACTCACTTTTTTCTTTATTTAAGGCCTCTTGTCAAATTGATTTGTGTTTAGTTGATAAAAAAAAATGTGCCTTTTTTGTTATCCGTTATTACTCTTTTTTAATCTGGTAACAACTTTGTCGGACACCGATTTAATTTTTCTTGTGAACATGAATTCTGCAGGTGACATGACTGTTGATGTATTGGGATTCGTCATTATCTGGTAGACTCTTTTTGTAGTGCTTCTTCGCTCACGTTTTCATTACTTGCTTTTTTCAAATCTTTTTTAAAATTACCCACAAACAGTTCAGCTTGTCC